TCATCTTTTTACACATCAGTTATGAAAGATCTCCTTCTTGGAGCCATATGTCAGGAGTGCTCTGATGGTGTTTCCTGCCTGGCAGGGGGGCTGGGCTCAATGGCCCCTGTGTCTATTCCAACTCTAGGATTCCTATGATTCTATGAAATAAGAAATCTAACATCTAAATTTCTTACTTTCTAAATCCTTTGCATAATTACATTTAAGCCAATATATTTCATACAGTAACATATATAGCTTTTTAGAAGGAAAGGAACTTAGTAAAAGCTAAGCTAAATTCTCTCTAAATTCTCTAAAGCTTCAAAGCAGTTTCAGAGAGCTGCTTTTCCTAGTTCAGCTGCTGTTTCTATTTGCCCTTTTAACCTTATGAAATGTGGCTCAAGTCTCTAATGGGAGGCACAATAATTCTTACTATTTACCAACTTAATTGTGTTTTGCAACTTGATTATTCTGTAATTTGTATGGTCAGTGACCTTTGCTCTCAGCTTGTAATTCCCGTTTTTTATGACTGCAATAAACCAGAGGGGCCCTCTGGCCAAGAGGATGAACATCTGCCAAAATCTAGCCAGCCTAGTTCCTGCCTGGCATGAGAGATACAAACATTTGCAAATATATTTTTAAATATACAGATCTTGATCTGATGCCTCACCTTCAACTGAAATCCCATCTTGATTGAGGAAGGGGGGTTTGCATTAGAAGTGGGACGGGCGGGGAGGGGGAATAGTTTCTAGCAGCAGTACCTCCCCAGGTGCTTGAGGACCCTATTACTAAATTGATTGATTGATTTTCTATACATACCTTTTGCAAACAGATCTTTTAAAAAAGAAACACAGTAAGCCACACATTTCCTGCAAATTACCCCCAATGACCATTCCAAAGCTAATAGTAATAGTAATAAGTAATAATAATAGTAATAGCAACATAGGGACGCGGGTGGCGCTGTGGGTTAAACCACAGAGCCTAAGACTTGCTGATCAGAAGGTCGGAGGTTCGAATCCCGCGACGGGGTGAGCTCCCGTTGCTCGGTCCCAATCCTGCCAACCTAGCAGTTCAAAAGCACGTCAAAGTGCAAGTAGATAAATAGGTACCGCTCTGGCGGGAAGGTAAACGGCGTTTCCGGTGCGCTGCTCTGGTTTGCCAGAAGCGGTTTAGTCATGCTGGCCACATGACTGGAAAGCTGTACGCCGGCTCCCTCAGCCAATAAAGCGAGATGAGCGCCGCAACCCCAGAGTCGTCCGCGACTGGACCTAAATGGTCAGGGGTCCCTTTACCTTTACCTTTAATAGCAGTTTATTGGGCCTTAACTCTTGCATAGGGAGGAAACAGGGGTGGGCTGTCTAAAATAATTGTGCCCAGAAAAGGGTGGTGGTGGAGAAGGAGAGGTTTAGGAGAGAAAGAGTGGCCCTCCTTCCCCCAGCTTAATCCGCAGCAAATTTGATGTGAAATGTGCTTTTCTTACAAAAGCAACAAAAGGCCGGCCACAGGGACAGTCTAAGGAACAATATTTGGGGGGGAGTGGGGAGATTGCTCCATTAGAGGTTCCACACTGTTAAGGAAAATCCGGGTTGCGAGACTACTCAACAGCCCAGCTCCTCGGGGTACAGGCCGTCCGTCCCCCCTCCCCCCCGCAGGACCATGTGGTCAGTAAAAGAAGGAAATCCCAGCAAGCAAGCAATTTGGAGGCAAAACAGCAGCCAGTAGACTCAGAGCTTTTATTGTTGCGCAACAGGTTCAACAGCAGCCAGTGATCCAGAGCATGGGGCCACATTGACTTGAAAACTTTCCCACCAATATGTCAGAATACAGTTTGCAACAAGCATCATCAATACATCATTGATACATCACTAACATGTCACAAAAGGGGAGGGTTACACAAGATTAGCATAGACAGCTATGTTCAGGTCAAACACCCAAGTACAGTATAAGCTTAGCATCATAGGCAAACATGTCTTAAGTACCCACCACCCAAAGTACAACAGAACTTCCTTGGTATCTCTGGAGCCGGAGGCAAGTCTGGGGATGAGATTCGGCTTCCCTTGGAGAACCAGGAGCCCACAATTGTCACCTCTGGGCATTTTCCTGGGGCAGGAGGTGTGTACCCATGTCTTCAAGCTTGGGGAGGTGGAAGGGGAAAGAGTCTTTTCCCAAGGGTAAAATGGTGCTGGAATGGAGGAACTTGTCAAAGGGTTGATTTTATAGGAATTCAAAAAGCTTGGTATCTTCCCTGAGCTGTCAAGTTGAAAGGATAGGTTCAGGCATAATGTTTGTAACATTTAACAACTTTAAAGATGTGCCCCCCCCCCTGTAATTCTGTAACACCTTCAGAGAATAAATTTTCTCTAGGTTCTGTAGGGACGGAGAGATTTTGCGGCCAAGACCACCGCAAACAGATAAATGTCAAATAGCAACTGTTAAAGCTGATCACCCCAAGAAGCGTGGTAAAAAGCGAGAGTCTAACTACTTGTTCAAAAGCGTGGTTCTCTGCTGGATCTGGTAATTGAAGAGAAATCCTCCCGCAAATGAGATGGAGGAAAGCCATGCGGAAAGATTTTATCATTCCAGAAGGAATCCTGCGAAGTGGAGATGGAGGAAAACCCCAAACACAACCATCATACAGGTTACTCCCTGCAACAGGGAGTAGCAAACTGCTAAATATTGGAATATATTGATTTATGGCAATATCTGAAATAAGGATGGAGCTATGTAGAGGCATTGGCTGGCTTCACAGTTTTTCCCACGTTGTGATTTTTGTACAAAACACTCACACACTTCATGATTCGCAATCTATTGGCAGGTCAAATATTATGAAACCAAAGTGGTGATATGGTCGATATATTGCTCAGTCCGACTCGTTGCGGGACAGAATCTTTAAACTATTTTCTGTCCCCTGTGCGTGTCAATACTGTACATAGATTTGAGTCACCTGAACCTGCAGATGCAATCTCTGGAACGTGAATGTATAATTGGATGGTGGGAGTGTGTTTGGGAGGAGCTGAAGGAGCCCGCTGTTCTGCTGTCCTCCCCCCCTCGGTCAAGCAACTACTCACCAGCTACTTCTCTGTCGTCAGTGCCTCTGGCATGTGCCTCAAGGTCACAAAGACCAACATCTTGCACTTCGCATTGCACAGAAGAGCACAGGAGCCCTTCTCGGCTTGGGTGTGGAGCTCTCAGTGGAAGCTAGGGTTACCCAGCTGGCGTGTAGCCCATTGATTTTTTCCTTTTTGTGTTTGTTGGCCTTGTGCTGGTGCCAGGCTATTTTGTGCCCTAGGCATGGCTAGCTACTCGCACTCCTCTCCCCAAAACTAGTATTTATTTATTTATTTAAGATTTTGTTGATTTACAAAAGTGTGCAATGTCTCTCATGCCCCCCCCCCATGTAACACTTTTACAAATCATTTTCATTTGTTGAGACATTAGGAAGAAAAGGGGAAAGAGGTGGAGGGGGGAAGATGGGTGGGGGTGGGGTCGGGTGGCAATTTTTCTATTTTACTTCCTATATGTAGGGTTTGGTGTCAGCGTTGTTTGTGCAGGTTCTTTGCTGTTCGCTTGTGTTCCTTTGGTGGTGAGAGAGGTTGGGTTGGCCTAGGGTGTGGTTATTCATTTGTAGTTGGCTGTGGTGGTCTTTGTTTTCATGTGTGAGTGGGGTGGGTGGGTATTTGGATCAGCAACAAATCTACTTATTCCCAGACCTCCCTTAAAGCAGTAGTGGATCACCATGAAGAAGGCGCCACCACCCAGAAGGCCTATGCTTGGTTCCCCGTAACTTGGCTTCTTGCAGGCACCTCCTTCGTTTTTCCTTCTAGCGCCTGCTGAAAACCTTTGATTTCACCCCCAGAGGTGCACTCCATTGCCTCTCAAAAGAGATGCCCACAGCTTCCCAGGGAACTCTGTGAATGGTAGTTCTCGGAGGCATATTTGTTCTGAAATCCACTGGGCAGGCATGTGTTGGTGTTATTTTAAGAACCCAAATCATAATCTTTGTTATGATTTTGATAAGTAGATTTTGATATTTGCCATCCGATATATTCTTGCCTTGCGCAATTAATTTATCCTCCCATCTATTTTCCTTATATAAAAATAAATTATCTCCTTAATCTCGTAAATTCCAATCATGGGTTGGTTAGTTAGTTAGTTTTTCATGAAAATCTTGAAGCGGGGGGGGGTGCAGGAGGAAGTTGGGTGGGAAAAGGGATGAGGCTCCTTTAAATGGAGAGAGAGAGAGAGAGAGAGAGAGAGAGAGAGAGAGAAGCAGAAGCAGAACTGTCTCCAAAGAACCAAAAATGTCACATTTTGTCATGGGCATTTTCTTTTTGCACAACAAGGGATAGAAAGGAAACTTTGGGCAATCTCAGAGCCAGAGAATATGGGGCATCTGTGGCCCTCCAGGCTGTTATAGACTGCAATGGGGGGCAGTGTGGTTTAGTGGTTAGAGCACTGGACTGGGACTGGAGGTTTCAAATCATGCCCCACAGGCAGGCCATGTTCCTCTGGCCTCATGAGGAGCCTCTTTTGTGGGGCTAGCGAATCTGGGACTAGGCCACGTGGAAAGGGTCTTGCAGGGTGCGGCCTTCACGCCCCACAGCCAGGCAAATTTATTTCATACCACACCATATGGCAGCCATTTTGTGTTTTGCTATGTTCTCATTGGTAGCCAATTGGTGGACTGGCCCATGTAGCACTTTCCCAAAATTGGTCTGGCTCCATATAAGGCAGCTTCCTCTGTTCTTATCATATGAAATACCCCACTTTTTATATTAATAAGAGCGCAGGATGTGCTGCATTTATATCCTGGGGGGGGGGGCGCGAATCTCATGAGCGATGTGTCCAAATGTGTTTTTACGCTGGGGGGCTGCTGCGTCGCTTGTTCCTGAACCTTTTCTTCCTCCCAAATGCCCTGAAGATCCATTGCACACCTTGACTTGCATGCAACCTCCTCTCTCTTATTTGCTCAGTGAACCAGACCGGGAGAAGGAGGAATGAAGGAAAACAGAAATCTGGCCTGAGAAGGGAGGTCCCTGTCAAGAGAATGGCCAAGATCTCCTCAGGCGAGGATGAAAGGGGAGGCAGGGAAAAGCAAAGAGCCCCTGAAAACACCCCCACACTCGGGAAGAAGTTGTCGGCCAAACCCCTGCGCGGAAGTGTATCTGCAGGAAGACGGTCAGCACTTTTCTATTGGATGGGTGTCACTGAGCAGAGTTTTCAATGGAGATGGTGTATCCTGATTAAGTGGGGGAAACAGAACGGGAGAGCATTTGGGCGTGGAGGATGTCATGCAGATACAGAACGGGACTTGCGTCTTTGATGGGGTGAGCTCCCGTTGCTCGGTCCCAGCTCCTGCCAACCTAGCAGTTCCAAACCACGTCAAAGTGCAAGTAGATAAATAGGTACTGTTCTGGAGGGACGGTAAACGGCGTTTCTGTGCGCTGCTCTGGTTTTTCCAGAAGTGGCTTAGTCTTGCTGGCCACATGACCTGGAAAAACTGTCTGCAGACCAATGTCAGCTCCCTCGGCCAGTAAAGCCAATGAGTGGCGCAACCCCAGAGCCGTGACTGGACTTAACTGTCAGGGGTCCTTTACATTTACCTTTTTAAAAGCACTGGACACTGCCATGCGATGTGAAAGTGCTTCATCTTATCAATGGTCACAACTCCTGAAATGAATGGATGGCTTCAATGCTCCATTTGCTTCCTTCCTTCAAACATTAACATTTGTGTATGTTCTAAGATGTTTAAAATAGTCAAAAAGATGCCACCTTTTAATTCCTCTGAATTTGATATATACTTTAGATTTTTAAAGGCTGGCTCCCAAAGTTATTTCAGGTGAAATAGATGGATTTAGGCCCATTGCTTGGCCAAATGTTAATCACACACACACTTCGGTGGACACTGCATGCAGCTGAGCAGCTCACATTCGGAGCATCAACACAGAAAGGAACAGAAATAAAGCAACACAAATATTTTGACGGAAGTGTCTTTTAAATCATGGACACCTAGGTTCTGAAAATGGTATTGCCTGTATTGGTGTGAGGGATGGGGTCCCATGGCACAAATTCCGTGTGGTCCCAGTGCAAAGGAAAAGAGCTAAGATCTTCTCCCTTACTATAATGTCCAAACAAGATGGGATGGGGAAGAAGAATGAGAGGTTTGTAAGGAGCCTTCAATAATTTTGCCAAGGAAATTCTTATGGCTCATGCTATTAGCATTTCTTGTACATGGAGATCCTTTATGAAATGCATTCAGGCCCATCAAACAAATCTGTACTGAGATGCACATACTGTATCACCATTTTTAATGCTGGAACTGCTCTGAATCTGACTTCAGGAAGAACACGTTTTAACTGCGCAGTGTCCTGGAAAAGACACTCTGTATTGGGAAAGAAAGGAGCTGAGTTCCCTCCCATTTTCCACTTTCCTGATGTTCCAAATGACCAGTACCTTGGAGTTATGATTTGTGGTGTTGTCAGGATTCTAACTGTAACTGTAACTGACCAAAGAATTCTGCAGAGCAGTTGCTGTGGCTGACTGGCTGCTCAGGCGAACGTCAGCTCAGTGGCCGATAGCTCACTCAGTCTTCTTGAGGCTCAGGAGCACCTAGCAAACACCTGCTCTGTTCCTGCCACACTAGACTCTAGCTGAGGAAGGCATTTCACGTAAGTTTATGGATTAAACATTCCTCACTGTGCCATCAGGTGTGTTTATGATCGGTGGAAAAGGATAGCTTCAGTAGCAGATAGCAGAACAGCAAATCATGAGCTGCTCCCATCCACAACAGGTTGCTGAGGTTCTGGCCATTTTCACAGGAACAGTGCAAGAGTATATTAAATCAGTGGCAGTTTGCTGGAAGAAAGTCTGAGTGTCGGCTTCTCTGGATCAGAGAACCAGGGGGTGGGAGAGAGCAGGAACTTTTTCTTTTGCTACTTCTTTCTGTGCATAGAAGGAAGAATGCAGGAGGGAGGATGTCCTTCAATGACTAGACATGCTTGTTATTCCCTCTCTCACTGCATCTTGTCTTCTCTTTTGTTTCCAGGATGTCTGCCAAGGTCTCCCCTGGTCCCCTCCTCTCCAAACCCCCCATGCAGGTGAAAGAAGGCTCCCTGGTGGTCAGGTGGCTGAGATTAGTGTCCGGGCTCCAGTTGTGTTCATTCCTGATAGATATTGTGGCCTGGATTATGTGCATTGCCTCAACAGCCGTTGTCAACTGGCGAGTGTGGAGTGTGGAAAACATCAAGGGAATCGGCTCTGGAAACATCTGGATTGGAATCTGGCAGGTCTGCTTTTGGAAAGACCCTTCTAACGACGGAAACTCTTTTTGGCATTGCGAAGATCTCAATGAGCAGCATCCAAGCCTCCCAAGGGAAATTTTTATTGCACAGGACTTAATGGCATTAGCTTCCATTATGAATTCAGCGGCCCTTGGATTGATTTCATTTGCCTTGTATAATGTGTTCGAGCCCAGAAAACATAAGAATTTTGTGTTAACCTTTTTTAGGCTTGCAGCTTTCCTGAACTTAGTTGCAGGGATACTCGTCCTGATTTCTGTGGTATGGAACATGTCTGCCGTCTTACATAATGGGAAAATTGTCTTCCCAGAAGATTTTGAATTGCCTCAAATTCCCAGCGAGCAGCATATTGGACCTTCTATTTACCTAGGCTATATCGCTGCAGGTTTCCAGCTGCTGAGTGCAGCATTGGTTGGGATTGAGAAATTTTGCGTCAAGACCACCGCAACAGATAAATGTCAAATAGCAACCGTAAGGCTGATTACCCCAAGAAGCGCAGCAAAAAGCGAGAGTCTAACTACTTGTGGAAAGTGTGGTTCTCTGCTGGATCTCGTAATTGAAGAGAAATACACAGATGAGATGGAGGAAAGCCGTGCGGAAGATTTTGTCATTCCAGAGGAATCCTGCGAAGAGGAAATGGAGGAAAGCCACACACCCCAAACCTCACCTGAAGGACATCAAAGCCCACCTGATGTTCCCAAACATACAATTATATATGTGATTCCCTACAACAGGGAGTGGTAAACTATCAGATCCAGATCCAGGCAGATCGTTCCATACACGGATGGATCTGCGTGGATCAGGATCTGATAGTTTTGTTTTGGGACTTCAGATGGGCTTTGATGTCCTTCAGGTGAGGAGGCCTCTTTTTTATGACTAGTATTTATTTATTTATTAAAGATTTTGTTGATTTAAAAAAGTGTGCAATGTCTCTCTCTCTCATGTATTTTTCCCCATGTAACATTTTTACAAATCATTTTCATTTGTTGAGACATTAGGAAGAAAAGGGGGAGGAGGTGGAGGGGGGGAAAGATGGGTGGGGTTGGGGTCGGGTGGGGATTATTCTATTTCACTTACTATACGTAGGGTTTGGCTGGCGTCAGTGTTGCTTGTTCAGGTTCACCTGAAGCGGGTGTCGGAATTGTAGGCGAGAGAATTGTAGAACGGAAGAGTTGGAAGGGACCCCATGGGTCATCTTGTCTAACCCCCAGGAATGAGGGGATCAAGAAGGGTCAGAAGTGAGAGAATGGACCCAATATTTGTCCGAATGGACCCAATAATAAAAGAAAATATGCTTGTAAAAGAATAGATTTGAATGCCAGCTCATTCATTCCATGCACATTTTTGAAAGGGGGTGGGTGGAAAGAGTGAATTCATCACCAGGGGGCGTCCTGGCAATTCACTGCTTGCATTTATTTAATATTTGAAGATGCCTTCTTGCTTCAACTCTGTTTTTTTGTGTGTTTTAATCTTTTATACAAGATAAAAAAACACACACAAAAACAAAACAACAATAATAATAATAATTTAGTTAGACCCCGCCCATCCGGCTGGGTTTCCCCCTCTTTTAATTCTAATAGAGCATTAGTGTTCTGATATAAAAGAGGGAAGATAAGTTGCAGCTAAGGTTGGAAAAGAAAAAAACATCTTAGGAAATGGGATGGGAAGCTGATAATAGAAAAGGGGGGGGACTTACTATGTAACGAATCCTGATGTGCAATTTGTGGAATTTCAACAACAACAATAACACAACAAAATACTTAATAAAAACCAGAACAGAAAGAAAGCAAACCAATCCCTATCCCTAATTAGGTATTATCCAGATAAAAAGCAAAAACTAAAGGACACAACTTATTCAAACCCATTCATTCCAATAGGCTTACTCTGAGTAGAATCTCACTGCATTGTCACTGCAACTCCTTGCATTAGAGTATTTGGGTAATTTTTTAAAAAGCCATGCAGGAGATTTTGGCATTCCAGAGGAATCCTGCGAAGGGGAGATGGAGGAAAGCCCCAAACATACCATCATACAGGTTACTCCCTGCAACAGGGAGTAACAAACTGCTAAATATTGGAATATATTGATATATGGCAATATCTGAAATAATGATGGAGCTATGTAGAGGCATTGGCTGGCTTCACAGTTTTTCCCACGTCGCGATTTTTGTACAAAACACACACAGATAGATTAGTTTATTACGGCCATAGGCCCATATTCAATACATCATGCAACAGAACAAGTATAACAAAATAAAATTAAAAAATTAAAAATTAAAATACATTTAAATCAAGTACATCTCAAACCGTAAATTTCTAAATTCCATTAAAATAAGAACAATATATCGCTTAAAATATCAAATTATCAATATATATCAATATTATTTAAGCAAAATCAATAGTCATAGAGTAATCCATTTTTCCTCTTATAAGCTAATACTGTTATCAGAAATCTGGCAACAGAAAGGGACCTACTCGGATCAGAATCTTGCAATAAATATATTAGCTGTGTTTCCAAGGAGTCACCTGAGATTTCCAATAATAAAGGGGACAAGAATCTGATCCGAGAAACTGAATGTAGTGGACAACAGAATAGTATATGTTGCAAAGATTCTATAGATCTATTATCACATACACACACCGCTGAGATCTGACCATTGGAAAATCTATTATTCAAGACATTGGAAGGAAAGGCGTTAAATCTTGCCTTAATAAAGGCATATCTGTGGACCGCTACAGACAAAGAAGTCAAATAAGATGGTATCTGCTGTGAGGGGACTATGCCAAGATTTAATGGTGAGCAAGTGCCACTACCCAAAATGGTGTTTTGTTGTAGGTCAATCTCCTCAAGTTTTTGAGTGAGGGTTTTTTTTGCTGTGGCTAGGTCCAATTCCAATAATTCTGATGGAGACAATCCATAGGTCACTACTTTAGAATGGATCTCTTTTGCCCCTAGGACGGGAAAATTATCTCTCCAGAGGCATTGGATCAAATACAGGTTCGGGAGTCTATGCCTTAAGGACAACCAGTAACAAAGGCTACGCCTCCAAAGAGTATTTCCTAAAGATGTAGTTTTTAATTCTAAGCGAATAGCTGCGTTACTAACGCACTGAGGGAGTTTTAGCAGTCGTCTTAGAAATTGATTTTGAATTACCTCCAAGGGCTTCACAGTTTTTCCCACGTCGCGATTTTTGTACAAAACACACACACTTCATGATTCGCAATCTATTGGCAGGTCAAATATTATGAAACCAAAGTGGCAATATGGTCGATATATTGCTCAGTCAGACTCGTTGCGGGACAGAATCTTGAAACTATTTTCTGTCCCCTGTGTGTGTCAATACTGTACATAGATTTGAGTCACCTGAACCTGCAGATGCAATCTCTGGAACGTGAATGTATAATTGGATGGTGGGAGTGTGTTTGGGAGGAGCTGAAGGAGCCCGCTGTTCTGCTGTCCTCCCCCCCTCGGTCAAGCAACTACTTCTCTGTCGTCAGTGCCTCTGGCATGTGCCTCAAGGTCACAAAGACCAACATCTTGCACAGAAGAGCACAGGAATCACAGAATCATAGAGTTGGAATAGACCACAAGGGCCATCGAGTCCAACCGCCTGCTAAGCAGGAAACACCACCAGAGCACTCCTGACATATGGTTGTCAAGCCTCTGCTGAAAGACCTCCAAAGAAGGAGACTCCACCACACTCCTTGGCAGCAAATTCCACTGTCGAACAGCTCTTACTGTCAGGAAGTTCTTCCTAATGTTTAGGTGGAATCTTCTTTCTTGTAGTTTGGATCCATTGCTCCGTGTCTGCTTCTCTGGAGCAGCAGAAAACAACCTTTCTCCCTCCTCTATATGACATCCTTTTATATATTTGAACATGGCTATCATATCACCCCTTAACCTCCTCTTCTCCAGGCTAAACATGCCCAGCTCCCTTAGCCGTTCCTCATAAGGCATCGTTTCCAGGCCTTTGACCATTTTGGCTGCCCTCCTCTGGACACGTTCGTTTGTCAGTGTCCTTCTTGAACTGTGGTGCCCAGAACTGGACACAGTACTCCAGGTGAGGTCTGACCAGAGCAGAATACAGGGGCACTATTACTTCCCTTGATCTAGATGTTATACTCCTATTGATGCAGCCCAGAATTGCATTGGCTTTTTTAGCTGCCGCGTCACACTGTTGGCTCATGTCAAGTTTGTGGTCAAACAAGACTCCTAGATCCTTTTCACATGTACTGCTCTCAAGCCAGGTGTCCCCCATCTTGTATTTGTGCCTCTCATTTTTTTTGCCCAAGTGCAATACTTTACATTTCTCCCTGTTAAAGTTCATCTTGTTTGTTTTGGCCCAGTTCTCTAATCTGTCAAGGTCGTTTTGAAGTGTGATCCTGTCCTCTGGGGTGTTAGCCACCCCTCCCAGTTTGGTGTCATCTGCAAATTTGATCAGGATGCCCTTGAGTCCATCATCCAAGTCGTTGATAAAGGTGTTGAATAAGACCGGGCCCAAGACAGAACCCTGTGGCACCCTTCTCGGCTTGGGTGAGGAGCTCTCAGTAGAAGCTAGGGTTACCCAGCTGGCGTGTACCCCATTGATGTTTATCCTTTTTGTGTTTGTTGGCCTTGTGCTGGTGCCAGGCTATTTTGTGCCCTAGGCATGGCTAGCTACTTGCACTCCTCTCCCCAAAACTGCTAAGTTCAACTTTCCAAAACAGGTGCCTTGCAGGGGGGCGGGGGAATGAAAAACACAAAATGTGAAACTGCTATCTTTATATTAAATTATTACCGGCCTCCTCTCTGCAAGCTGTTCTTATTACAGTTACGTTAAAAACAACAATAGCTTATCTCACAGATATTTGTCAAATCAGTAGTTTGTGCTTTGAACCTTAAAAGTTCTAAGGAGTGGTTTAATACAGTAAATGTCTGAATTTGAAAACAAAACAAAGTTTGTCTAAGATTTTTGAACAATTAAAATGAACCTACTATATATATGAAGTGAAACAAACATTGAAAGATTTCTTCCAAATAATCTGAAAAGGAGTCTGATAATTCATTGACACAACTCCCGAGAACCTGCAGTTGTAGACTGAAAAGAACAACTAATAAGGAACAGCATCTGTAGCTACACCTTCACAAGAGTTTGAGAATTTTCTGTTTTTATTTTAGAGCTTACAGTCTGTAGACTACAGTTCTTCAGTGTAGCTCCTGGTTTTGAGAGCTTTGTAACTAATTGCTTTATTGAAGAGCCCATTTTTTTCAAAACATCAACTTTTGTCAAAAGATTGACCAGGTAGAAGATGTAACATTTTTAAAGGTATACCGCTATTTGAAATGTGTCGTTTCCCTTTTTATTTTAATACACAACTGAATGCTTATTTGCTTTGAGGACAGTTTAACCACAATATAGAATTCTGGAATTGGGAATCTTAGTACAGTATTTGGAGGGGCTTGTATAAGTATAACATCCTGATCATGTGAGCTATTAACCAGACTGACTCCAAGAAACCAAATTAAGGTTAAGGAGCTTGCTTCAGGAAATTTCCAAATGACATTTAGTTGAGAGATTATTGAAGCCTCCAAGGAATTTTTGTAATCCAAGCCAAACTTGGCCTTGTCTCCAACCTGCCATTTGAAGTTTGAGCTGTTAACACTTGCAATATACAGTATGGGAATAATAGTATGGCTTTGGCAACAGGGCAATTTATAGAAGCTGAACAACCTCAAAAGCAAAAGCAAAGAACCAACCATCCTCAAACCTTTCTTCCAATGAAGTAAGATGTAAATTAGGAAGAGCTTAGGTTCCCTTTTTTGCTGCTATCTTTTATTTCTGGATGGACTGGTCAATGTCAGGCAGCCTAAAGCCATGAACTGCGACATTGTTTCCATTGTTCTCACTTCTGCCCCACCAAGGTAGATGGTGAGGAAGAAACAGCAGAAAAAAGAACCAGGAAATTCCATCCCAGACAATTGAATCTTATATCTTTTCCTGTCTCTATGCATAAGAGGCCTAAGGATTTAAGTGCAGAAATCCAGTGAATTTAGTGGGACGTAAGGGACGCGGGTGGCGCTGTGGGTAAAAGCCTCAGCGCCTAGGGCAGGGGTCAGCAACCCGCGGCTCTGGAGCCGCATGTGGCTCTTTTACACCTTTGCCGCGGCTCCGGGGCTGATACTAGCGAGGGGAGGAGGCGCATTGTGTGCCCCGACACTCCCCACTGTTTTAAATGTCACAATGGTTTTGCGGCTCCCAGTTTTT